TAGAGGAGCGCAATTGGAATCCGAACTATTTAATAACTTGGCTAAACTTCTAGGATCCAATAGGATACGCTGCACTGCATATCATCATCAGGCTAATGAGATGGTGGTACGTTCTCACCGTCAGCTAACGACCGCCCTTGTATCTCACTCAAACCCCAATCAGTGGACAGACTTCCTACCGTTATTTATGTTGGGAATACGAACATCTGTCAAAACTGACGCACAATGTTCAGCTGCGGAACTGGTTTTCGGAACCAGGTGAATTTATTAACCCTAATAATAACAGTCAAAAACTTAACTTAGAAAATTACGTAGATCAACTACGGGACCATATGTCCAAACTTGAGCCAATTTATACTCGTGAACAATCACGCGCCATATATGTACCTAAAGACCTAAGCAATTGTACGCACGTCTGGATAAGATGTGACAAAATAAAAGCACCACTCAGTCCTCCATTTGAAGGTCTTTTCAAAGTCGTCTCAAGAAAATCTAAATATTTCGTGATAGAAAAACATGTAAACATCGACACAGTAAGTATTGATAGGCTAGAACCGGCTTATCTAGATCATGAACCACCATACGTGCTGTTAAATCGTTTAACTGACAAATCCATTACGGAATCAAAATGTAAAAATGATAAATCTTTACAAATGACTAAAACGGTTCGCTGGGCACATCCGATTAGTCAGTCAAGGATGTTGACAGTTCTGGCTGCAGGATAAAATCTAAGCAGGTAGCTAATCAGATCTTGCCTCTACTTAAAATATCTTTTTCCTCATTCCGCCTCACCTACAACTCTCCAGACCTTTTACCTTTGATATATAAGTGTTATGTTAAATATTTTTTTAAATACTGGACACATAAGCTAGGTATTCCGAAACGATGGCTGAGGATTTTAATCAAACTCATACAACTAACACTGGCAAATACAACGAATTCAAAAAGCAACCCAGACGAGTTTTATAATTTCTTTTTCTGGTTAATTAACTATGTTGGCTGTACTTCTTACATATCTATATAAATTTTTCACGTAGATTGGCTATACATATATACCATATGAACTACTTCTAAAAGTTTTCGGTCGAAGATATTTCTAGTAGCTTGATACGGTCAATATTACTATCAATAAGTGGTTTTTAGACAAAACATTTTGGATTAAATCATGATCAAGTACTTATTAAAGTTCTCATCATTTTTTTCATGTTTAGGAAACTTATGTAATGACTTAACCAGTTTTCCTGCAACATACTTTTTAGTGTGATCATATAACCCATCTTTATTGGCAATATTAAGATTTTTTTAAATTTCTGACATTTAAGAATCAATAACCGTGGAGATATAGTACAGTGCGTTACTGTAAGGTTACTATGTTAGCCGCATTAATTCCACATACCTAATTTTAAACACAGCTTATAAAGGAACTGTTAAGTAATCATAACATTGAACTGACGATATGACTATCATAGCTATTTTGGTGGAGCGAAGAACAAAACTCCACCAAAATCATCCACCTGAGCTACAAATCTTCTCCACCATCTCAATATCATAGCTATGTTAACGTTAAACCAATTATTATTAGTGGTCCATACAAAATCCTAAAACTTTTCACTAGAGTTATAAAAAAGACATGTTATGTCAATAACTTATGTATATACTTTTTTCTCTTTGGTTTAAGTATAACGTAAAATGGAAATCTACCAAACTTGTAGTTTTTTCTATAGTATTATTATTAATACAAATAAAGAACTTGTACTGTTCTAATATGGCACTTTGACATATCATTCCGTCCTCCTGTTATTTTTCTCTCATATCTGAGCAAATTATGGGCAACAAACATCGTATTGAAGGGGATTTTGGTGAACAAAAACGCAAGCTCCACATGCACTCTAACTTCTGCCCTCCTGAATGCTAGACCGCGTGCCTAGCCATGAGATCACTTAGTAATATGACACATAGGCTTAACTGATTTCAATAACTTATAACTACTATATCTCAAATAAATTGTATTCCGCCTTATGATAAACTCCATACTCGCAACAAACTTGTATGCCTAATCAGCCGGCAAGTATAAATATAAATAAATAGTCTGCCGCAGATCAGAAAAGTGAGTCTAGAGCATGTCTCTTACGAATACACTCATGTTTAACGATTTGTTCCTAGCTATCTGTCCGAAATGCATATGATTATCACTCACGTATTTAAATTTCGTTTTGATAACCATTCATGTGTATTGGTAGTATTATTAAATTCTATCACGGTCAAATAAAAATGAGGTTCAGGAAATCTTCCCGTAACTAAATAAACCGTATCAAACTAACAGGAACACTAGTTGGAATTCTTCTCCACGGTAATATTTTTGTTCCTTCAGTTAGCCTACTAATACAGATGCAATTGGAAATCACATATAGACAAGTTACCGGCATAATCGTTATTCGATTTCATAATTTAAACCAAAACTAATACCACTATTAACATTTCTACAATCTTGAATGCTTTTAATATTTTTAAACACAAAATAATTACTACCTATACGTTAAGTTATTAACAAACGGCTATTAACACGCATCATATTATTATTGTAATCCCATTTTTTTTTTCTCAATTTTTCACCTAAACTTTCATTTTAAGCGTGTTAATCATGAAAGCAGATATTTTAAGATTATTACATATATTTTCTGACCAGATGCTGCCGCCTTCTTTCTGATTTATCTTTCAGCTTATCAATACACGGAGGATCCTTATTATCCTTGGTAACCTCCGGCTCGCAACGATCCCATCCAATTTGGTATCGAACCAACAACTAGTTGGTTCTGGTGGGAGAGTAGTGTAGTGGCATTGGACCATAACCACACTATCCTCAAAGCTGAATACGAGATTACTCGGAAAATAGATATTAAATATTTAAAGCGGAGAAATACCTAACGATAGAAAAGTCGGGAACAGTTAATTGAATAAGTTAGAGTTGATCGAACAGTATGACTCGGTCATGCAGGCGTGGTCCCTGCTGAATATTATCTTATATCTTCTATTCATATTAAACATATTGTTCTTTCTCTAGCCTAAGCTTGTTCTTCATCATGTATTGGTAGTTATTACGATACAGTGAGTTGGCGTAGTCGATGGTGTGACTTCCACGTAAGATCTTATCATTTAGGCAGTTATATTATGACAAATCTACAAATTTATGATTTGGTCTATTATTAGAGCAGCACTAATATTATGCTTCAGCCTACATTTTATAAACAACTACCAACACCCATGTTCATCATGACCATAATCAAAAATGTGAGACATATATAATAGGTTTTAAAGCTTAGTTTCGTAAAAACTCAATTTACGATCCATTTTTCGACTTGAAAAATGGTGAATTTTACTTGCTTAAGTTTCCATTGTTACAAATAACCATATAAGGTTTACCAAAGTTTCACTTAGATGGAGAGTACAAATGCGTCAAACTACTAATAAACTGGAATAAAACATATGTAACAAGCACAAACATTACGGAAATTGACGTGTGATCGAAAAAAGGCTGTTAATAGCTGATAAATAACGACACAAACAATCCACGACAATATGTGACATGTGCGGGAAAACACCTGACTTACCCCAATGTCAGTGCCGGCAAGTACATGGCATACCATTAACTGATGCGCGTTGGTTGTCCTTGATCTTGACGAGGGTCGATGATTTGTTCGGTGTTCAAGGATCAAACTGCCGGATGACTTGGCTAGTATTTAGTGACATTTCACTGGCCCTACAATAACAAATCGAAAGAGGAAAATTGACATCATTGAACATTACTTCTCAAAAGATCTTGATAGAATCAGCCATATATGTCTTTACAATGGACTCAGACGATCGGGTATGAAATCACCTCTAATTGGCTGGTTCACTTCATGTCTAAAAAATCGACATTTTAAGGTCAGGGTTAAATTCGCATTCTCTCAGGCTATGGAATGACCTAGTGGGGTCCCCCAGGGTTGAGTACTAGGGCCTCTTCTTTTTTAATTTTTATAAATGATGTTCCACAACAAGTATCGTCTGACTTATCACTTTTTGCTGATGATGGGAAACTTTGGAGAGAGAGATACGCAACCAAAAGGATATAATGGCACTTCAAGAGGATGTGACTCGACTTCAAAGATGGGCAGACGACAACGGACTTACCTTTAGCACTTCAAAGTGTAAACTAGTCCATCTGAGACATGTTGCAGACTACAGTTACAACTTGGGAAACTCCTCTCTAGAAGTATCCCAAGTTGAAAAAGATTTAGGAGTGCTGGTACCCCATTATTTAAAATCTTACGCTAACTGTGACAAAATGCCTTTCGAGCAAACCTCGCATTGATAACATTGAAGGGCATTTTTGGCCAGTTTGACAGAGAAACTTTCCACATGATCTTCAACAGTTTTATTCGTTCCCATTTGGAGTACGGAAAAATAGTATTTCCTCCCTCACTTCAAAAGGATAAGGACACTCTGGAGCGCATCCAACGGCGAGCCACGAAATCAGTTCAGGGACTCAAATTCAAGCTTTATGAAGAGCGTCTCCAGTCACTTAACCTTTACGCACTAGAGTATAGGCGTCTTAGAGGTGAATTTCTAGTGGCTTACAGTATCCTCAACTCTTCTGCACATCCCCTTAAACAGCTACTTAAGTTTAGCTCCCAGAAACTAAAGACACAACTTCTACTCCCTAAGAGTTGTCAGATTCTGGAATTCGCTGCCGGTTGAGCTGGTCCAAGCGACTTCCCAGGAGTCATTTAAGAGGCAACTTGACCTATTCTTACGGACTAAGGATAATATCTTACTATGATTTACCAATTCCCTTTTGCTCTATTGTCGTTAATACACCTAGATTCCTGCCTGAAGGTATTGGTGATCCACTGCTATTAGATGTGGAATCCCGTTAAGTGAAAGCTTCTTCTATTCCGTCGACAACCATTTGGACCATTTGAGGTCATAGTCAATCAAGGTGACGCCGGACTGATGACCTTGGACCGGTTTAAAACTATAAGCTGTAGGTCAGACGTCGGCGTTCTTGTTTTGGCATTGGTTTTTGTAATAAGCGATATGGGTCGTTCTTTGCAGTCCGAAATACCGAAGAGAGTTAGCTCCATCTCGGATTTCGGGAAAGATGCTATTAGGTCACACTCCGATGTTATCTGGAAGTACACTACTTTGTGGCACCTTCGAAGGTGATCACCGTTAAATATTGAAATAACTTCCAAAAGGTGCATAAAGAAGAAAAAACTCGTCGTGAGTCTGAAAGATATCCCGTTTGGTGGCACTTTTAAGGCGTATTTTCATATATTTAAGCATATATCCTCGAAACTCTTTCAGGTTTTAGTATGTAATTCGTGTTCTTTCAACTAAGTGAACTCATATTGAATGCTTCATGGTTAAATATTATTATTATTATTATTATTATTATTGGGACAAATATTGGTACAAAGGGGCACCGAATACATATGCGCCACACAAGTCACTTGATTTGTGTGTGTGCTGTGATACTGCTCGGGTGCCCAAACCGAAGTAGGATGATTACATCTAAATAATACATTAGTCATTCGTATGTCTGATACTCTAGTTTATCGGGATTTATTAATCAGCAGTCAAGACAGTCTTTTGTTCGTATTCTGTCATGTAATCAAATTTTCCAACCTGAGTTTTACAGAAATTCGCTTAAAAGGAGGGAATATTCTCAACGTTTGAAATTGGTATAGAGAATCAATGACTCTTACATCCATTTTCGCCTTAGTCCAACCTTGTATCATCAATTTCTAAATATTCGTGCACAGTGTAGTCTAGTCTGGTTTTATTGTACTGTAACTAAATGCCCAACTGTTTAGAGAACGCCCAAGTTTTAGAACAGTAAATTGGACACTATTAACAACTAACAGGGTCTTTTATGATTCTGAGTACAGGTGTGGGTGTCTTTATTTTTTTCTAAGTTAATTGTATTTTTGGTGAAATATTTCTGTCGGAAGTCGTTGTTTGTAGTGCTATGATCAATTGTCATCAACAACCGCTTCAAGGTTGTTCGTCAGTCAGTTAGTCAACTATAACGTAGGACCAGACACATATATGCATCGGTCCAGGTTGACATACCTCATTAGCACAGCAAGATGAACACCGGATTCATAGGTGTGGTTATGTCAAAGGTGGTAATATATAGGAGAAATATTGCAATAAGGATATAGTATAGGAAGGAGGAATTAGTTAGTAGAAAGAAAGAAAGTTATGAAGTGATTTTAATCTCTTAGTTTAAGGGAAGACAGGGAGTGTGAACACCGACGCCATTGTGATCGATTCTGAGCCATGTCACCAAGAGTCTCCAACCATTGGTTACGATAGTCACGCGGACCCCAACCAAGTAGTCTGCATCTACCAACATGGCTCAGACTAGAAGTTAGTGACTTCAAGCACTGATGCCACGTTTTGGTTTGGCCGCCCCTTACTTTCTTCCAACCATCTCTAACGCCGGTTAGCATTGCACGTCGTGGTAATCGGTGTTCAGGCATACGTAACACGTGGCCCAACCATCTCAGTCGATGAAGATTCACAAGCTCATCAACTGACTTACCATCATTCCCTAATACCCTGCGTCTAACCTCACTATTACTTACCCGGTGATCCCAGCAGACGCCAGCAATATTTCTAAGGCATCTGTGGTCAAATAATAGTAGCTTACGGGTGTCTTCTACTCCTAAGGGCCATGAATTTTACAGAAAGCTATCTGAACTTCTTCAGAAAGCTAAACGTTCAGACATAGTACTCGTAGCAGGTGACTTTAATGCCCAGACAGTTAGTCTAAACCAAACAGAAAGGCATTTAGGTGGGTATTTCAGTATACCGGCACAACGAACAAATAATGGTGATCGTCTGCTGCAACTATGCTCAGACAATCGATTATTTTTAGCAAACGCAAATTTTAAGCATAAGGAAAGACATTGTCTAACATGGCGACCCCCTACACCAAACTAACGATGGACTCAAATAGACCATATTGCCATCAGTCATCGTTGGAGAGGGTCGGTACAAGATTGTCGCTCATTCTGGAGTACCTGCTTGGACTCCGACCATGCCCTAATACGGGCACGCATTTGCTTGCGCCTCACTGGACGCAAAAAAGCCACATTAAAAAGACCCATTAGAACTGAGTTGAGTAACGAGAAAACCAAAAGTAGGTTCCAGGAACAACTGAGGTCACACTTAGGTAGTTCTGAAAACGAGGCTGGCCTAGATGTTGCTTGGAAAGATATACAAACAGCTGTGGAAACAGCAATGAAATCTATTAGTGACTTAAACCAGAGTTACAAAGAACCAGTGGATTTCTTCAAAGTCTATCACACTGATGGATTCTCGCAAACTCGTCCCATCAGGTTCCGAACATGATGAAGAGCGACAACAAATCAGATCTAGGTTAAGAAAAAGTCTAAGAAACGACCGTGAGCAGTGGTGGGCAACGAAAGCAAAAGAGATGGAAAAGGCGGTGACTATATGGAACACAAGACAACTCTACAGACTAATAAAAGAAACTGGAACTAATAAGTCAAGTGTAAGTGAGGTTATTTCGGAAAAAGACGATACTCTCATCTACTTCCAGTTCAGACGTTTAGAACGATGGGCAGAACATTTTAAAGAACAGTTCAACTGGCCTTCAGCTACTCTACAACTACCCTCCATTGCCAGACAATGTGAATGGAACATTGAAGTAGGTCCCCCAACTCTTCCTGAAGTTGAGAAGGCTATAGTTAATCTGAAACGAGGAAGGGCAGCTGGTCCAGATGGATTGGCTCCAGAGGTCTTTAAGGATGGTGGTCCAATTTTAGCGATTAGGTTGACTAATATTTTAGCTAAGATCTGGGAGTTAGACGTAATTCCATCTGACTGGTCACAATCACTTATCGTCCCGATATATAAGAGAGGGTCAAAATCATCCTGTGACAACCACAGAGGGATTAGTTTAACTAATATAATATCTAAAATACTAGCCTCAATAATAATCAGACGCCTAACTAAGACGCGTGAACTGCAAACACGAGAAAACCAAGCTGGCTTCAGACCTGGTCGTGGCTGCATCGACCACATATTCACCATTCGTCAGGTTCTAGAACACATGCATACTTATCGGCATCTGACGATGGTGGTCTTTCTTGACTTAAAAGCAGCATTTGACTCGGTAGACCGCGAGATTCTGTGGCAGTGTCTGTCTGAAAGGCGTACCCCAGAAGTACATAGACATTGTAAAGGCTCTTTACTCGAACACTACTAGTCGAGTCAGAGCTTATGGTGAACTGTCATCTACTTTTGCAACCTCAAGTGGTGTCCGTCAAGGCTGTCCACTTTCTCCATTTCTGTTTAACTTCATCATAGATCTACTAATGGAAATAACTTTCTCGTTGACTGAGTTCTCGGGTATTGATCTCCATCTAGGAGATCCACTTATCGACTTAGAATACGCAGATGATATAGTCCTGTTTGGCGAAGACGTTGATAAAATGCAGAGTCTTCTGGTAGCACTAATCAACAATGCCAGAATGTTTGGAATGCGCTTCTCTCCCTCTAAATGCAAGTTGTTGCTTCAGGACTTGTCTGGAAGGAGATCAGTACCCGAGAATTCAGTCGACGAGAATGTTATTTCCATCAGTAGGTCTATGATGAAGTTAAACAGAAATGGAGAAAGTGGACAGCCTTGACGGACACCACTTGAGGTTGCAAAAGTAGATGACAGTTCACCATAAGCTCTGACTCGACTAGTAGTGTTCGAGTAAAGAGCCTTTACAATGTTTATGTACTTCTGGGGTACGCCTTTCAGACAGACACTGCCACAGAATCTCGCGGTCTACCGAGTCAAATGCTGCTTTTAAGTCAAGAAAGACCACCATCGTCAGATGCCGATAAGTATGCATGTGTTCTAGAACCTGACGAATGGTGAATATGTGGTCGATGCAGCCACGACCAGGTCTGAAGCCAGCTTGGTTTTCTCGTGTTTGCAGTTCACGCGTCTTAGTTGGGCGTCTGATTATTATTGAGGCTAGTATTTTAGATATTATATTAGTTAAACTAATCCCTCTGTGGTTGTCACAGGATGATTTTGACCCTCTCTTATATATCGGGACGATAAGTGATTGTGACCAGTCAGATGGAATTACGTCTAACTCCCAGATCTTAGCTAAAATATTAGTCAACCTAATCGCTAAAATTGGACCACCATCCTTAAAGACCTCTGGAGCCAATCCATCTGGACCAGCTGCCCTTCCTCGTTTCAGATTAACTATAGCCTTCTCAACTTCAGGAAGAGTTGGGGGACCTACTTCAATGTTCCATTCACATTGTCTGGCAATGGAGGGTAGTTGTAGAGTAGCTGAAGGCCAGTTGAACTGTTCTTTAAAATGTTCTGCCCATCGTTCTAAACGTCTGAACTGGAAGTAGATGAGAGTATCGTCTTTTTCCGAAATAACCTCACTTACACTTGACTTATTAGTTCCAGTTTCTTTTATTAGTCTGTAGAGTTGTCTTGTGTTCCATATAGTCACCGCCTTTTCCATCTCTTTTGCTTTCGTTGCCCACCACTGCTCACGGTCGTTTCTTAGACTTTTTCTTAACCTAGATCTGATTTGTTGTCGCTCTTCATCATGTTCGGAACCTGATGGGACGAGTTTGCGAGAATCCATCAGTGTGATAGACTTTGAAGAAATCCACTGGTTCTTTGTAACTCTGGTTTAAGTCACTAATAGATTTCATTGCTGTTTCCACAGCTGTTTGTATATCTTTCCAAGCAACATCTAGGCCAGCCTCGTTTTCAGAACTACCTAAGTGTGACCTCAGTTGTTCCTGGAACCTACTTTTGGTTTTCTCGTTACTCAACTCAGTTCTAATGGGTCTTTTTAATGTGGCTTTTTTGCGTCCAGTGAGGCGCAAGCAAATGCGTGCCCGTATTAGGGCATGGTCGGAGTCCAAGCAGGTACTCCAGAATGAGCGACAATCTTGTACCGACCCTCTCCAACGATGACTGATGGCAATATGGTCTATTTGAGTCCATCGTTAGTTTGGTGTAGGGGGTCGCCATGTTAGACAATGTCTTTCCTTATGCTTAAAATTTGCGTTTGCTAAAAATAATCGATTGTCTGAGCATAGTTGCAGCAGACGATCACCATTATCTGTTCGTTGTGCCGGTATACTGAAATACCCACCTAAATGCCTTTCTGTTTGGTTTAGACTAACTGTCTGGGCATTAAAGTCACCTGCTACGAGTACTATGTCTGAACGTTTAGCTTTCTGAAGAAGTTCAGATAGCTTTCTGTAAAATTCATCTTTCACTTCATCTGAGCTGCAGTCAGTGTGAGCGTTTGCAGAATCGACAAAAAGGCAACGACTTGTGTCCCTGTCCTTCCGAGTTCTTACGTAGCCGTTTAGCCGAACAGCACATAGACGACTGTTGACGGGGATACACTCTAGCAGTGCTTGTTCGGCCCTCATGCTTAGTGCTATGCTTACACCTGCTAGTTCACGAGAACTGGCTATCGGGTCACCAGATACACGAAGCGTGTATCTCGTTGGCTCAAGTGAGTGACCACACTGAAATCCTGTATGCGTGTTTCGGAGACACAGCACACGTCAATGGTAAGAGACTCTAGGGTTTTAGCCAAGGAAGCCTGCTGACCGATTTAACATAGGGTGCGTACGTTAAAGGCCCCAATGTGTAGTTTGGAGCGAGGTTTGAGTAGACCTGGGACAGTGTTTTGCGCACTAGAATCGTTGGCTATGGTGACATTTTAGGTGGAAGCCGAGAGAGGATATTTAGAGTTGAAAGTCGATGTAGGAGGAATAATAGGAATTGAAGAGGGAGGTTGATTATGAATACAGTGGCCTTGAGTGCTGTTAGAAGTATGAGGGCGGTTATCACTTCCCGGTTACCCACACCGTGGAAGGGTTGTTCTGGAGGTACCTGAAAAGGAAATTGGATTAATGGTGGTCTTAGTGACCCGAGAGCGTGACCGCAGTGCCCAAGGGACAACTGCTTGAGGTCGGTCACACACGACCTTGTTATGGGTGATTTTTGTGTTAGCTCCGTACTTATTGAGACCTTACCGCCGGAGACAGATATCCGTGGGATAAGGCGAGGTGTACATTTTTAGGGTTGACCTTTTCTAACCCCACCCCTCCTTGTGGGAATGCAGCATCGCTGTCATGCTGGTTGTCTGAAGGAAACACCTTACTGCTGTTACACCTCTGTACAGTCAGCAGTACGACTTCGCCTTCGGACCTTAGGTTTGTTGCTTTTATTCTTACCGCTCTTCAACCGACCTTTCTGACATGGTAGGACCTTGAGGAACAGTTGTTCCAGCCAGTATAGCTCGGTTGCTTCATCACGGTAGTCAAGCCCGACCACCACGTCAAGGTAGGAACAACGGTCGGGCAACGTTGGTAAAATGCTTGAGATAGTGTATCTAATCCTTAACAACGTAGTTTGTAAAAAACTTATTCTTCATCCGGTTTATACAGATTTGTTTCATTTCGTTCACTGGATATATGCAATCTGAACGGATTGAGTTCACGAGTGACATTCGTTGTTTTCAACTAATCTTGTACCTGTAACTGCTCTTTTCTGTTTAGTCTAATGATTTATTTTGTGTAATCAATACGTCGTTGGTAGCGATCCGCGTAACTTTTGTAACCATTGATTGAAGTCTGTGGTTGACCCACTCAAAATATATCACAATGGCGTCCGTGTATACGTTCTTCCTTTTCCTTTAAACCACGAAGTTAAAATTGTTTTATATCTTTTTTTGTCGAGAACTATTTCTTTTTTCCTGTACTATATCCTTATACGCAATTTTTCTTTTAAATATTGCTACATTTGAAGTAACTACAATTATTTTGGTATTCATCTTGTTGTGCTAATGAGGTTTGGCAACTTGGAACGATGCATATCTGTGCTTAGTTCTATGTCATATGTGACTGACTGACTGATGGATCGTTATCTTTGTCTTCCAACTATTAATTACGTCATTCAGCAGTATAACGCTCTGATACAGAAACTGTTTATCACTTTGATTTCTTCCCAACTTTCCATTGTTCACAATACTAATCTCAATCACTAATATATTTAGCATTCTAACAGTCGACGTTTAATTTTGATGTTGTATGTAATTCGTTGACTTTATCTTGATATTTTGTCAGTGTATCTCAAAAACAGATCAAGTCCTTCTGGTTGATTTTTTTAATTTTCTCTAAATAGAATGTCGGATGATATATGGGAGGAGAGTGCTGTCAAAGGATTTCAATTTGACTTAGAGGAAGCAGATAATACTTCAAGTAGTTTATCACTGAATTCTACCATCATACTTTGTTTAGCGTACTCTCATATTCTCGGTGATAGCTTTGGTGAAACATTTTGTGATGAATCAATAACAATAGGTATGAATCTCAATTAGTATCACTGTGATCATCTAAATTTCACCTAACAGACTTTAACAATCAATTTTGTACAATATGCCATAACTTAATCGGTAATGAGATTTACTATGAAAAAGATGCTACGTTCTGTTCAGAGGTTCAAATACAATACAACAGTTCTTTAAATTTTGATCTTTATTGTAACAGGCATGCTGGTTGAAAGCAATTACAATAGCTCTTGATGATTTTGTTGTTGGGGGAATGAGTACATGGCCATTGAGTACTTTTGTTTCACAATCCTCTAAATCAGTTATTTTAAATTTGACTACAAGCACTTATGATGGGAATTTAATTACAAAGGTTAACATCCATTTTCAAATTATCACTTCTTACAGATTGTTAATGAACTTAGGAATTCATTATCAGAAAGCACTTTTGAAAATATTTTGCTAAAAAACCCCGTAGCCGCGTTTCACTTTCTTAACTTCCTTAGAAATACTGGACAGTTAGTAGACTTAAAGAAATATATGAAGTGAGTTAATTTGGGTATAAATAACTTCATTTGTTCAGAATACTAGGTTTTATCAGAGAAAGTGAAGTAAGCTAACCTTGTATCTCAACTTATTTACAAAATACTTGTTGCTGTAAAGATTTCTAGCTATAGTCAGTTGATGCAAAAGTTGATGAATTTATCGTCGGGTCATGTAGACGAAGTTAATAAACATTTAATGCAGATTGCAGAGTATTTTAAAATATAGTTTTTTTTACCAACTTCGCTTAGATCTGAAGTAGCCTCAAATCTTGCTGTTAAAAATATTGTTGAAATCTCTTCTGAATTGGCTGTTATCTTGGATTATCAGAACAGCTATGTATTTATTTCTGTTCACTCGATAATTAGTGTAATTTGTTTATATTAGGAAAGAGAATGGAGTTCATATTACAGTGAACTTCTTACTTGTACAAACACCCGGAAAACCGCTACTACACTTCCTGAGAGTTTGTTGATGCAGCCATTATGCGAAACTCTTGGTGCATTGGCGAGGATGGATCAAAGCATTAAAACCAATAGTCGGGCTGAAACTCTTGGGAAAAAGTTCAAAGCACGTGGTTTTTTAAAATTTGATTTGATGTAGTTACTTTTTTCTTTTAATAATATTAAGCTACTTTATACATATGTATAAGATTTGGTTTTCGTAATTTTTATATGGAATGTTCTAACCAGTCATTATGTTCATTCGGGATATTATCTCTTGGTCAGAAAAAACTTATAGGTGTATGCTAGTCGGGTGATATAAACAAGAAGAAATATAGGCTTAAATATCTCATAAGCAGTCACTCAAGTATTATGGTCTAACCATAACTGTTATCTTGACATGACGGTAAAATTTGCTAAATATGATAACCAATCATGTTACATTTACTGAGACGTTTGTCTCTTATTCTTTAGCCATGCAAATTATTTTGAGGAAGTTAAAAGCCGAATCATTTTTGAGTTTCTCAAAATCCATAAAACCGGGGATTTTGGTGGAGGACAGTCCTTTAAATAAATAAAACACTGCTCAACGGAGTCTCACGTCCTGATGATGGCGTTTTTACTGCATGATATCAGTAGTATGTTCAATTATTGTAAAAACCGGCTTATGAGATTTAAACTAACTAACTACTGATATCATGCAGTAAAAACGCCATCACCAGGACGTGAGACTCCATTGAGCAGTGTTTTATTTATTTAAAGGACTGTCCTCCACCAAAATCCCCGGTTTTATGGATTTTGAGAAACTCAAAAATGATTCGGCTTTTAACTTCCTCAAAATAATTTGCATGGCTAAAGAATAAGAGACAAACGTCTCAGTAAATGTAACATGATTGGTTATCATATTTAGCAAATTATACCGTCATGTCAAGATAACAGTTATGGTTAGACCGTAATACTCTAAATCAATAAGATCACCAACACAGTTGTTGTCCTGAAGTTCATCAGAGTGTAATGAACTAAGGAACGTCAATCACATACACGGTTTTATTTCGTTTGCTAATGTATATTCAGAGTTCTCTCCTAAATGTTGTTTTAATCTTTCTATCAATCCATCCTCATCATTTAGGGAAAGAAGCATATCTTAACGTGCCAACCTCATGTTTAAAGACAGCAATATTATCTGAGCTAAATTAGGAGGGTTTTGAATTAGACATAGTTCTGTGTAAACATATTCAGTTGCTTACCCTTTAATTTGTAGTGTAGGAAAAATTGTTCTGAAATAACCATCCGGGAGTCAGTTTGACCGATATTGTCCCCAAGATTTCAGTTACTATGTTCATCTGCCTTGCAACTAGTGCTCAAGGGTATCAAACACGGTAAGAACCAGGCAGGTCCTAGGTCTGACCTTATGTCGGTCACTCAAACCTGAGACTTATATCAGAATTCAAGAATACAGGTGTATTTGCTAACACTATATTTATTCTTAGATACAACCATGCTACTCGACGTTGATTGGAGTTTGTCGTCTGCTTATCACTAGTTGGCATATACAATAATGGATCAGCTTATTAAGATCTCTGAACTCAGACTTATGACCACAATCAAGTTAGCAGTTGTTTATTGTGTGAAGTGGTTTCAGAATTACCTACTTTCTGGATTCATATTCTCTTGAAAACCATTTGAGCTGTATGCTAAGACGAAGGTTCCTCAGTTGGGATCCACAACGAAACAATTACATAAATTATAGGGCATAGCCTAAAATCAGTCAGCGATCTAGGTACGCTCTTTATCTTTCTCCGAATTTTAGATATTTTGGGATATTATACCTTTAATTAGTTTCGTCACTTTGATTTTCCACTATTGTTGACCTCGATATATATTCTTTATTGAATCTCGCTTTCTGTGTTAATTTAAAGTGTAGCAAACTAAACCGATAACTTTTCCAGTTCTCATGTTCTTTTACACCTAACAAGTCAAGTGGTGCATAGCCTCCCACTTACCCTCAATCTAGTATTCTCCTTTGAATGCTGTATGGTAAATATGTTGAGTAGATGCTCTGTCAATTTCTCCACCGTTCGATGCCTATAATTCACGTAGACGTTTCATGTTGACGCTGGTACGCTTCGAAATAACTAATAGTTAGTTAGACTCTTGTATCAGTTGTTCACACCAAGATAAAGAAGTCTGGATTTTTTTAAATAGTGTGTTCTGGCTATTGGAATTGTCTTCCGACCCTTGCATTACTTGTTTTCTACGTTCGCATTTAAATTATTTTTGTCATGCGTCATAGGTTTTTTGTTTTCTCTCATCGTGTGGAAATAATTATTGTTATATATATCTAATAATTAATATCCTTATATTTTAGATATCGGATGAACAGTTTAGATGGTTGTTAATAGAGCCCCTTGTTCAGTCACGAAACTGGAACGATCTGGAATTTATCATGTTAAAAAAGGTAAACTGACCGGTTACCTAAGTTGACTATAATTTCTAAAGAAATCTTTGTCGCGTCGTATGGAGGTTACCATCCCAAATGACCGTTTTATCCTTCATCTCAATTCATTAGGTGTCCCAAACAATGTAAGTCTCTTTGCAGTTATTATTTCATAATATTCACTTGTTCTACAACATATAATTCTGCAAAGAAAATTAAGAACATTTAAATGACCCAAAACTACAAATGAATTGTCATATATTTTAGTACTATTTTAGCATAAGTAGATAAAAAGAACAGTACAACTGACATCCATTTTGAGATGTATTTTTAATTCCATCTGCGTTGGGGAGACTATTTATTTTTCATCAGAAATAAATTGTTGTAACTTTAGGTTTGATGTTTACCTACTTGAAATGATGCTTTTTATGGTACATATGAGACCTAATTGTTACTGGGCTTCTATCAATCTTGGGTTGTTTCTATATCAAGGTTGTAAGTAGTTGATTTGGAACTTTACAGTTATATTGTTGTGGTTGTATCCCCTATTTTAAACCTGGTAGATCAGAAATATATTCCTTGAAATGGTAGATCATAGCATTGACGAATTGAAAGACTTACATTTTCACTCATTTGGGAACTAATTTCCTGAACACAGCTCAGTTAATGTATTGCGAAATCTTTATAACTTATTAGGAATATCACCACACTCAGAGATGTCTGATTTTTTTGTAAATAGCCCCAGATTGGTGTTAGTATCCTGTTCAAATCTGTTATCTAATGGTCTGTCACTTAAAATTATATGACACAAATCAATCTTGTTCTCTTTACCTCAAACAACTAACTGTCAGGGGGAAACTATTTACCTATTTGGGGAATCATACCGGAATCTCACATCTTGTGATCGTGTCCTTGACCTTTAATCTCATGTATTCTTTCATATCTAGTCGGTCTTATTATCCCTCTTTTTAATGGTTATTGATTTTACTTTTCATTGTGAAATGAACTCCATCATTTCCACTCAGTATATTAATGCACACTGATATATAAAACTTGTTCATTAGTTTTCTCGTTTAAATAGAGCTTTTTAAAATGAAATTGTCGAAAAAATAATGATTGAACGTCATGCTTCAAACATTTTTCGTTTTATTTATTACTAAAACCTACCATCTTGAGGGTATTATTTGCTTTTGAGTTCAGAGATGATCAACCAAGGGCTATGAACATGGGTTTACTGTTTGTTAACACTCATCTGTAAACTTTATTCAACTGACAGTTCCACCCCATTCAGAGACCTTACCAATGAGCTAGCTATCTGATGACTTGATTCTTTTCAGACCAAGTAAAAAAAGTCGGTTAGTAGATAGTAATGAATTCAGTGTCTAGTCTTTAAAGGTTGTCGAATTCTAAAATTAGATTTAGTGAAGAAATCCTTCCTCGGGAGTTTCCCAAAATTGTGATTCTGCACAATGATAATCTGTAGTATTTTTGTGGATAATAATAACAGATTAAAAGTATAGCACAAGTTTCTAAAGCTTATACGTTACATACACAGTAAGAGATTGGAGCAGTACTGTGTACATACACAATTCGCGCATTCCTGTGTTTACAGAATTGGTTACAAGGATGCCAATAAAGACAAGATCATTGTTCTTAAGTCACAATCAGTTGAGAGAGAAATCCGACCATATTTCAGGCCACGCGTCGTGAGATTTCTGAACCTATAGGAAACAGATTATTTCTACTTTTAACTTCAGTAAATATTTCGACAGCAAGTTACAGTGCCGACCAAAGCACGTGACAAATAAAGTCTATTTGCAAAATTCCAGTATTTTACATTAGATATGGCAGTAGATTGAATTCTAGGTATCATGGTTTTTTATTATAGCCTATTTCTTGGATAAGAATAAAATATCTTTCGATAGATTTCCTGATAATGCAATCAGCTCTTTAACTAGTATCACCCCACTTATACACAATCTGGCGCCTACTGGAGTTCTTACCAGCTTACTCGATAAAGTAGAAAGAACTAATATTGCAGTTGCTGTAGCATACAACCGATTACACTGCTCTAAAGATACTACCCAAGGTTCCTAACTTAGTCAAAGACCCACCAACTACCTGGCTAAAATAATTTCCTATATTTCGAAAAGTCATCTCCTACCTTCATCTCGGTTACAAGTTGCTGATATGCGGTTTCTGTCCTTGCATCTAGGTATAAACCCTCTGAATATGAATGAAGAAATCTTTGAACTTGCAAGCCAATAAAGGCACATATCTAAAGTGTATCGTGTTCACATACACTTCCTGCCACACTGACTACATCTCTTGGATTTAGTTGTTTCGTTTTCTTCTTGTTACACTAAGTGAAACTGGTTGTCCATCACTAATCTGCTTTTGCTCAGTTTTGGAAACTGACAGCTGTTGGTACTCAAATGTAGTCATAATCTAGGTGGTTTTAGTTTTTTATTCAATTACCTCAGCTAGAGTGATTATTTATGAAATATTTAGTTTAATTTCGATAGAATAGTGAAAAGGCAGTGTCGTAGTATCGGAGTATGTTGTCAATATATTGGTTGTATCCACATGTCTATGAAAAAACTGTTCTACATCTGATATCGTAGGTAGATCTCCAAATAAACTCGTTCTAAGGAAATTATGTTCCCATTCTTATAACACATAATGATATTCTCTATGATGTTTGTGAAATTAACTGAGTGATACATTTAAGACAATTATAGATTTGTTGAGTCAATGAATTAAGGGTTGATCTGTTACAACGGTATTACTGTTAAGTTATTTCATGATTTGAATTTTCATTTAGTGTTTCTCTTTTTTAGATTATTGAAAGTTACTTGAAATATCTAAGTGATGATGAATTTATACAGATTGTTATTCGGTTAAATATGGTCGATGAAGCGGTTAAAGTAAGTTAAATTGTTTGTAACATAATTTATAACGAGCAACCCTTATGGCTACACATTATTCAACGTTAATTACATTTACATTCATTATATAAGGTTCCATCATATAGTCCCATCACAGCCTCTAGTACTTCCAAAAATGGAGGTTTACTTCCCATTAGTGAAACAGTAATTTCGTGGAAGATTTAGATGTCTCCAGTGCATTTAAATTTCTGTACTTAAAAACACGAAAAGCGGAATTAAACGGAATCACAACCGTAGCCTTCAGTACAATATGTTGGAAAGGGCATGTATCAAGCACTATAGTACACTTATTCTTAATAGGTAGAAATGTAGTGAACGAGAATGCAAGTGGGAACAACCAAATGTGTGTTAAATCCAAAATTACAGAATATCTTATTAAAGTCTGAGAACCATACAGGAAGTACTTCATTTGCAAAATGTCCATCAATTGTCTCAGACTTCATTTCCATTACAATCACTCTCGTCCTCTTTCATATCTCCTCAACCCTCTGCCGCCAGCTATCCCACTTTCGATTGGTGACATATACTACTCATATCTGTCGACATAAGTAGAACACACTACAGTTACATCCTAAATGTAAGTTCACCTCAAGAAAATTTGTAAGTTATGTCTATCCGGGAGATTAGCTAACTGTGAGTCACTCGCCGGTGTAGAAACACGTACATTGACAGTCGTCTGTTACATCAATCACGAATTCTTCAGTTGTTTTCTTTTCATTTCGACATTCTAGTTTGTGGTTATAGTTAAGTATACGCGCTCAGAATAAGAACTTCTGATCATCAAGTTAAAAAATGTAACAAAGAATTGATATATCAGCCATAATGTTATTCCTAGTCCAGTAAATTACCGCACGATTATGATAAAGTACACAACGCACATATGCAGATAGAGCAAATGAACCTTAATTACACTGTTGTTTCACCATGAAATTCAGTTTGAGATATTCCAAAACGTACCAGTTCTCAAAGCATCTGAATAATGTCTTTTATTTCAGCTCTGCTTGGAAAAACGAAATATCAACGCTTTGAAGGAACTCATGTCTCAAATACCTGGCAATCATCAAAAGAAGAAAGAAATATCTCACTATCTATCAGTTCCTGTAAGACATTTTTATTATTCTTATACCTGACGTTCTTAACTAAATGGTAGTAGGTACTGCGGCAAATATGTTTCGTTGGATATTTCGATTATGATATTGTATCATATCCGAAAAACACGATCCTCAAAGAGATAAGCTAGCTTACGTGTAAATTGGCGTTATATAATTCGAACGAGCGAGCAATTAATCGCTTAAAAGTATTTTGAAAGTATCTGGTCAGCCGGAAGCTTTCTTATGCTGGTAGCCGTGAACTTCGGTTTCGAGGCAAGACATTACCTGTGTAACGGTAAAACTGACCATTATATTCCGTCTATCAGACCGGTAATCTTTCAGTGTTTGTCAAATATTGGAACTTAAAGGCTAAAGATAAGATCCTCCAAATAAAGCTAGGAATTTTTAATTTGATCATCACATACATTTGTAGACTTGCCAATCACGCTCCTAATTTGCATTCGCTTCACTCAAATGAATACATACCGAAACTTAATATCTTTGGAGTCAATATGAGTCGTTATAAGACATCAAGATATAATAAAGTCTGCTATGCATAATAATAAATTTAAATCGTTCAATTTAAAAAAATGGTTTAATTTAGAGAATATTTTCCTGGCACTTTTTTTGGTCTGTAAACAGACCAACTGATCGGTGCAACTGCTTAACAAACGGGTGATAAATTCACTTGATCATAACTCAGGGTGTTGTGCTAAATTTATGCCAGATCAAATACATTTAGGCAGTTAATTAAACCCTTGGATTACATTACATTTATTTTATTAAAGAAACTAGCATTTGAATCATTTTCTGTTTTCAAAATACGTATAAATAACGCTAGAATAATCATTTTCTTAATTGTAGGTTGCACAGTGGAAAGACTTTGTTTGTAGACAAGCGTTTTGAAATGAACTTTTCATTTTACATTTTTGAGAAACACTGATGAGCTGGATTTTGAGCCTCGACTTTTGTACGCACATATGTATCGTCCCGTTATCAACTGAAATAACAAGCGGATAATGGTGAATAATCCTTGCGATTCCCGAGTTTCACTTCGATCAGTATGTCTTTGTAATCGTATTATCATAGTTGTAATTCCAAGGATAATGCAAATGATTGTTTTTATCGCGAGAGTTACGAAGATGTTCTCAATTTCGTGGGATAATAATCTAAAAGACGAGAAAACTACAATATTATTGTGTTAAAAAATATTTAAGATCTACTTGCAATCTTTTGACTGGATAAGTAGTGGTCCTCGTACCATTTTTGAGCAAACATTATGTACAATCACGTACGTACAAACGTACTTATATAAGAGATTTTCTTAGAGAAATATAGTGAGAGCCAAGTAGATTCTTAAAGAATGAAATATAAATGAAACATTAGATTTGTGCGGCTGTCGTTAAATATTCAGATGGAGACTTAATGAATTTTCGCCTAGTTAAGGCTGTTACCGGCGAAAGAGCTCTATTTATTACATTCTACTGGCGGATAGCGAGGAAAGTTTAGTGAAATAAATATTGGACTTACGGACATAATTTTAAAGATAGTTTTCAGTGTTCGTTTCAATATAAAACGAAGTAAACGAACATTTGGTTAGCATTCTTGATATTTCGATCATTTTTTCATTCTTGTGCAGATACTTTAACAATAAACACAGCAGTTGGACCTTTTTGCCATATAGTAAACACTAAACGAGAACAGAGCTCATAAACAACGAGTGATATCGAGAATCAAAAGAGCTGGCACTAAACCTCAATATTCAAAGGAAGATAAAAAAAAAAGTGAACAAAACCTGTGGGAATGATATTGGTTTTTCCTGCTTTGAACAGTTGTGGAGGATTGCACCTGCTGATATGGCTTAGTCTAACAGTACGTGATATCACTCAAGAAATTACTTGACCTATATGCACAGCAACGCAGTGAAAATCAATATAAGTTTCCGTGTCTATAGAGGTTAGGCTAACCACTAATTTATCACAGCTGAGTCTCTCAAGAACTGTATACTACCTAGCAAATACGTATTGGTCAAATTTGCTGCACTAATAGGAAGATGAATACCAAGAAAATAAAGTAATAACAGTAACATCAATTATAACAGAAAGCTTAGAAACTTTATTTGGTTTGGAAAATTAATGTGTTGACCTAATTAAGTGACCGAGTAGATACTTCAGGAAATTGACGCACTTCTGTTTTGGTTCTTTAATTAACTGTCGTCGCAAGAACCATTGATTAAATACCGTCTTCTGACCGATGAATACGATTAGTTAATTGTAGTGAAGAAAGTCTGTGTAACGTAACCAGAAAATATTTGATTCATACACCTGCAGTCAGGTCTACAACGTACTTTGCTATTTCAGGATTTCTGAGTCTGGACTAGAAATCGAATGAACACGGAAGCTAATAGTTTACACATGATGTGACTTTCCTTTGTAGCGATCTAAAAAGGATTTCCGTTCTTTTCATAAAGTAGGACATTGAGGGCCATTAACTAGCCCCTCAGTTATTTAATATCAACCAATCTCTCTAAGAAAAATGTGCCATCACTTTAAGAGATTTTCTGGAAGTAAGATGTCAAGACTTTTTGAGTTACCTTGCCTTAAGGTTATTATAGATGTAACATCGTTTCGAATAGAAGAGATTACTAATGTTCCAATTGGGCTTTTTGTTGGTATTTGGAAAATAAAAAAAGACTATTGAAATGTTTCTCTTCGTTTGGAAGTACACTGATAATCTGTCCTTCGTACGGATAGCTCCAGAAAGACGATTTTCAATCTACGTCTCTTTGATGAGTAAAAAACGGCTCAATCTCACTTATTTATCTTTCATTAACGACGTTTAAGAAAACAAACTTAGTCATCTATGCATTTGCGTTTCCTTCGATTACTGTTGTGTTTGGAGACCACTGAAATGAGTTCGCAAGACGTTACTGAAGCACCATAACCATTATTATCCTATGTGTTATTAGAAACGTCATCTTTGCTTATTTAACTGACTAAAGATTATCCCAATTTATATCGAATTAAAAATCCCATTTATAATCAATTAAATTCTTAGATAGTACCTGCTGAAATATATTTTTGAGATAGAAAAATTGTTGAGGGACCAGCTTTTATAGCAGACAAGATGAAATTAAGTGCTACTGGTGTGGAAGGTAGGTACTTGCTAGTCGTTTACACTGGAATGATATCTCGTTCAAAAATTCGGGGAATCTTATCGACCTGGAAGTGTAGCACCGAAACCCAAGGGACAACTGGATGTGGCCAGTCACGTACGACTCTTTTATATGTTGTTTTAGTACTGCATTTTTTAAGTCTTACCATCGGTACCAAAAATGTTTAGATTAAGGAGGTAAGCTGTTTTAAAAGTCCGTTTTTATTACTTCTTGCGTTTTATTCAAAGTGACGGTAATTCTCCGGAATAACCTTAATACCACTATACATCAGTACGTTTACCTGTATGACTTCGGCCAACATCAATCCAACTTCCTTTTCAGGTTTCTCAAGAAATACCCTTCCACGGTGTAGGCAGCCGGGAAGTGACATCAGCCCTCATACCCGTAATAGCACACGAGATCAAGTTGGTCACATTCAAATCCTTCCTACACCTCCTAATACCTCTCTTATCTCCACGACTAATCCTTCTCACGTCCCTTTATCACCTCGCACCGCTAGGGCAAACGATTCGAGTACGCGGAACGTTATTCCTGGTCTCCTGAAACCACGCTTTAAACTACACGTAGGAGCTTTTAACGTCCAAACACTGTGCCAAATAGGACAACAGGCTTCCTTAGCTAGGATTTTGGAATCTCGAGCCATCGATGTGTGCTGCGTCTCCAAAACGCGCATACAGGATCCGAGTAGCGTCATTCATCTGACCTCACCATGCCAAAATAAAGAACAGATTCGATTCACACTTCGTGTATTTAGAAGCCCAGTTGCTGCTTCTCGTGGCCTCGCCGGCGTAGGTATAGCATTGAGCCGTAGGGCAGAACTAGCTCTCTTGTACTGGATCCCAGTAGACAGTCGTTTGTGCGCTGTCCGACTAAACGGAGCAATAAGGACTCGGAAAGGTAGGGACAGTCAGTCAGTAACAACGTAGAACTTCGTACGTACGTATATCAGTTCGAGTTGCCACACCACCTTAACACAGAGATGCAGTTGTCGATTCAAATCCCGTAGTGGTAGAGGTAGCAAGAGTGTAAGCAGTGATCGGGAAGATTAGGGTTTGGAGATGTTATTTAAAGAGCATAATTCAGTGAAATAAATTTGGAAAGAGGAAAAAAGGGACATGAAGAATTCAGACGATTAGAATTTGGGAGAACACAAAGAGTGGATGCAAAAGGTAGGGACACTCGTCGTGTCTGCCTATTCTCCCAACTGACTGCAGCTTAGATGCTGTAAAATATGAGTTTTATAGAAAGCTTTCCGACCTCCGAAAAGCTAGGCGCTCTGATGTAGTAATAGTGGCTGGTGACTATAATTCTCAAGTAGGTAAACTAAGCGATAGGGAAAGACACCTGGGTGGGTCTTATAGCATCGTGGCTCAAAGAACAGATAATGACGACTGTCTGTTGCAGCTATGCTCAGAAAACCGCCTCTTTTTTGCAAATACTAACTTTAAATACGGTAAACCACAAGGTTAGGGAGAAACATTGGATCTCAGCAGCATCTACCGCACTGATAGATGCTCGGAAACTCATCCCATCTGGCTCTGAACATAACGAAGAGCGGAGTCAGCTTAAGCGCAAGCTGACAAGAAGTGTACGCAATGACTGTGAACAGTGGTGGGTAGCGAAAGCAAGAGAGATGGAAAAGGCAGCGGCAATAGGTAATAGCAGACAATTGTTCAGACTTGTTAAGGAAACTGGGATTAGAAACCCGACTGTTAGTGAAACAATCTGAGAAAGATGGAGATATTATACATTCTCAATCCCGGAGATTGGATCGATGAGCAGAACACTTTAGGGATCAGTTCAACTGGCCTTCAGCCACACTTCGGTTTCCCATGATCTCTAGTCAACCTGAATGGCAAGTTAATGTAGGTCCGACTCTTTACGAAGTTGGAAAAGCTATAGGAAATCTGAAGCGAGGCAGAGCAGCAGGCCCTGACAGGCTTACTCCTGATATTTTTAAGGATGGTGGTTCAGTATTAGCAGTGAGATTAACTGAGGTTTTAGATAGAATCTGGGAACTGGACGTAATCCCATCTGACTGGTCTCAATCACTGATTGTGCCAGTCTATAAGAAAGGACAAAAGTACTCCTGTGACGATCACAGAGGAATCAGTTTGACTAATATAGTGTCTAAAATGTTGGCTTCAATAATACTTCGACGCCTAAATGAAGCTCGTGAAGAGCAGATTAGAGAAAATCAGGCTGGTTTTCGACCTGGACGTGGTTGTATAGATCAGATATTCACACTACGTCAGGTTCTAGAACACAGACACAGGTTTAGACGCCCCACAATGGTAGTATTTCTCGACCTTAAGGCGGCATTCGACTCTAATGATCGTAAGGTTGTGTGGCAGTGTTTGTCACTGAAAGGAGTACCAAAGAAGTACATTAACCCCATACAGACTCTCTACTCGAACACAACTGGTCTAGTGAAAGCTTATGGCGAACTGTCATCAGAATTGATTACGTCAAGTGGTGTTCGTCAGGGCTGTCCACTCTCTCCTTTCTTGTTTAACTTTGTCGTTGACGTGCTTTTAGAGATGACACTTTTCTTATCTAAATTTCCAGGGGTTGAACTTCTACCGGGAGGTTCACTTGTTGACTTAGAATATGCTGATGACATAGTTTTATTTGAAGACGCTGACAAAATGCAGTCTTCTGACCACTCTAAGCAACAATGCAGGCACGTTCGGGATGCGATTCTCCCCCTCGAAATGCAAAATATTGCTTCAGAATTGGGTTGCATCGACACCCGAACTAATGATAAGGAGTGAAGTAGTTGAGCGTTTCGACTGCTCCACTTATTTTGGAAGTCTCGTCAGCCCTTTTGGTCTGGTGTGTGACGAAATCTCAACACGGATACAGGACGCTCGACTAGCTTTTGCCAACTTGCGTCATTCATGGCGTAGGCAAGATATCCGTCTATCAACCAAAGGACGGGTTTATTGCGCAGCAGTTCGTTCTGTCCTACTTTATGGCAGTGAAACATGGCCGGTAAGAGTAGAGGATATTCGTAAGTTACTAGTATTCGACTATAGATGTCTTCGAAACATTGCTCGTATATCATGGGACCATCGAGTAAGTAACACAGTTGTTAGGAAACGGGTACTAGATAAGGATGGCAAATCAATTGATGAAGTAGTGAAACTTCATCAGTTGAGATGGCTGGGATACGTGTTACGTATGCCCAACGACCGACTGCCTCGACGTGCGATGTTCAGTGGTATAGGAGTAGGTTGGAAGAAAGCTAGGGGCGGCCAGACCAAAACATGGCACAAGTCCATGAAGTCACTGACAAGTGTACTGAGCCATGTTGGTAGGTGTAGACTACCTGGTTGGGGACCGCGAGATGATAGCAACCGATAGTTAGAGACCCTGAATGACATGGCTCAAAATCGTTTGCAATGGCGCAAGCGCATCCACTCTTCGTGCTCTCCCAAACTCTAGTCTTCTGAATTCTTCATATCCTTTATTTTCTTTCCAAATTTATTTCACTGTATTATACTCCTTGAATAACATCTTCAAACCCTAATCTTTTCGATTACTGCTTATACTCTTACCACCTCTACCACTACGAAATTTGAATGGACAACTGCATTTCTGTGCTAATGGGGTGTGGCAACTCGAACTGATGTGCGTACGTACGAAGTTCTACGTTGTTACTGACTGACTGTATGACTTCGCTCTCGAATCCTAATTAGCTGCTTTAGCTTTTGTTTAAGACGTCACGGTCTTGATAAATAATTGCTATACTCTATAATGCTTGATCTTGGCTATTACGGTATCTGAAACCAAATACTGCATCGAGGGAGCACTTATAGTTGTCTGGACTTCTTAGTTTACAGTTACAACTTCGAATTGACTTGTGACAAATGGTTAGCTTTAAACTATAATTAGATGTTGCAAAACGATTTAACATTTAAGGATAGTTGCACAAGGTTCTCGTGTTGCGTTGGAAAACTAATAAATGAAATCTTGGCACTACTGCGATTATATTTTAGACTTACACTCAAAATACTTTTGACTATTTAACTAATTCGTACAGTTAAAGAGCACATATGTGATGACTAAAGAAACTATTTGACGGAATATGACTAGATTTAGTGATACTGAACATTAGTAACAACCTGCAATCAAATGGAAAGTATAGCTGAATTACATATCTTAGGCTTAAGATTGTTTTTTGTGACCCGCTAGTTTAAACTGTCAGTTTTAATTACGAGATACCAGGTAAGAATTGAACGTATTAAGGTTCTTGGTTTATAATGCTGTACAGGACAACCAGTTCGAACAGTAAATTCTGTACGAGAATAAAGACTTAGTTAATTATAAATACACAATGAAGTGAAAGTAAGGATAGATTGAAGCATAAAGATGTTTGGGTTTAGGTTCCGAAGAAGCCTCATTCAACTGTACGAATTCTGTATAATTTTCAGTAAAAGATAATGACAGTGAGTCATTAGGTTTTATTTATTTATTTGAACACATAGATATTGGTACAAGGGGGCACCAAATACATATGCGCCACACAAATCTCTTTTGATTTGTGTGAGGGCTGTGATACTACCTGGGTGCCCAAACCGAAGCAGGGAGTCAGTCAGTTACGATACATGGAAATGCTAACGAGGTTTACTTCGGCCGAATACTACACAGATAGTCAGAAATGAATATATTTTATTGAGGCAAAGTAATTAAGGAGAATCCAAGTATATGGTCAAGATAACTAGAACTATCTCTAGCAGACAATCTGTTAAATATCATATGTATAAACAGTCAAAGGTTCCATAGTTTATTGATCAACAATCACTCGTAGATTGATGGTTTTCAAATTGGTAGTATACTACTGATTTACTAGTTTGTAGTTGTCCATTGCTTCCATATATCTTCCTTCATAGCTTACCTTCGAATTTATATAACTAAGTATATTAGCTTATTGATACTTCTATGTGACGGAAATTTACCGCACATCTTTCTTGAGAAGCAGAATGTATTCGATATATTTGTCAAACTGAAGGATAAACTGTTATGACATTGGGTCTCTGTATGTGAAAAGAGAAGACTCCGAATATTTCGTACCGACTTATCACGAAAGAAGTACATAGCTGATGTGTATTCGAGATTTAACTAACCGGAAACTAGACTAGTGGAACTTGAGTAAATGCATGTCGACTTGGTCTTTGTGATAAATGCCACCTTTAAAGGCACTGACAAATTAAACATGTTTCACTTGAGACAATAACACTACTAGGTTTAACTTCATCTACCAAAATATCCTACTTCCTTTTACACATAGAGCAGTGCATAAAGCTGTGATTCTAAATTGACGGCAGTTGAGGATTATATGATTGCAGCTCACGCCATTTAACTATTTGAATAAGAAGTAAACTGATGTACAAATAATGGGAAGTGAACCACTTGTCGGACAAAAAGCTAATCGACTGTCATGTTTGATATCTAGCAAGTGGCATTCCAGTTCATATTATTCTTGGCACAATAAGTAACCGCCAAAGAACCAACTAGTTAGCCATTACATTCTACATACAAACACGATTTCAATACATGTGACTGCAAAGATATGCACTAAGTTTAAGAGTGAACTTACGCATAGAGTATACTTTTAGCTGGCCCCGCGATAACGGTGAGAAGGCCCAATAGAGTGCTCCAAGTAGGGCCTGAGCGACGTGACAGCAACCAAACGGAATAAAACATCACAAATGTATCAACCTAAAAGAATCGAACAGCATTATATGCATTCTTACCAAATCTAAGTTTGCTTCGTAACTCAAACACAAATATTTCCAATCGAATTCTAGTCCACGCGTGCCAACCCAAATCGGGACATATCTGATAGTATTATTTAAGGGTTTGAAAGCTCACCTTGTGGCTACTAATGAAGCGATCGACCAGCCTACACTGGATGCTACTACATTGAATTCACTTCTACAAATTGACCCACGTACAATCATGGTGATTACTATTATCTCCAGTACTATACCAAAAACATCCTGAAACGATTATTGAAATAAGCAAGCATACAAATGTCATAGAATCTCCCTTAGATAAATAGGTATGAGGAGCTAAGGTGACCAGAAAAAACTTCAAAATCTGTGTAAGTGCGTACACGCATGCAATTTTGCAACAGGGCCAAAAAGCATCATTTTCTGGTCTAAAAGGTGCCATAATTAATGGAATTTAACCTACATCCCACTAGACTTGTATACCAGCAAGTGAGGACCGGTAGCCAACACTAGACAGTTTGCTAAGTGAAATAAACCCATGATTTACACTGCCATGCTCATTTTATAATTTCTCTTACCGTTAATAGGTTCGCTTTAAGAAAGGGTGGGAATGGAATAGCAGATAAGAGATGGACAATTAACACAGTTTCTCTGTTGGAAGAACTTCTATAAAAGAAAAAAAATTGTGGAGCTTACGAAATTCAGGGAAGAGTGAGTACTAGAGGCAGAATAAAATGGAGTTAAAGCTACACAACGTCTCGGTACGTTGTAACGTTCTGTTTGTCTCAGCGTCGACTACAAATTTGTTGACCTGTTGAACATGTAATCCATCGAGTCTTAACTCTTGTTTGGATAGTCAACCAATTATTTACCTCAGTAAATGGTTCAAATGGTTGTGGACGGAATAGAAGAAGCTTTCGCTTAACAGGCTTCCGTGTCTAGTAGCAGGGGATAACCAAATCCTCCAGGCAGGAACCTAGGTATGTTAACAATAAAAGAGGAAAAGAAATTGGTAAATCATAGTATGATACTGTCCTTGGTCCTTAAGAATAGGTCAAGTTGCCTCTTGAAGGACTCCTGAGAAGTCGCTTGGACTAGCTCGGCGGGCAGCGAATTCCAGCTTTTGACAACTCTTAAGGAGTAGAAGTTGTGTCTGCATCCCGTCTTGCTATGTTGAGTTTCCAGTTTCTGGGTGTTACCCCTTAGGTTAGTATTCGAACTAAGCTTGAGTAGGTGTTTAGGAGGATGTCCAGAAGTGTTAACAATACTATAAGCCATTAATAAATCACCTCTAAGACGCCTATACTCTAATGAGTAAAGGTCTAGTGAATGGAGGCGTTCTTCGTAAGGCTTAGATTTGAGTCCGCGAACTGATTTCGTGGCTCGCCGTTGGATACGCTGATCTTGTCCTTTTGGAGTGAGGGGGGAGTACTATATTTCCGTACTCTAAATGGGGACGGATAAAACTATTGAAGATTGTATGGAAAGTTCTTCCGTCAAACTGGCCAAAAATGCGCTTCAATGTTACCAGTGCAAGGTTAGCTCGGAAGGCATTTTTGTCAAAATTAGCGTAAGACTTTAAATCATGGGGCACCAGGACTCCTAAATCTTTTTCGACTTGGGATAGTACTAGAGAGGAATTTCTTAAGTTATAACTGTAGTCTGCGACATGTCACAGATGGACTACTTTACACTTTGAAGTGTTAAACGTAAGTCCGTTATCATCTGCCCAACTTTGAAGTCGAGTCAGATCCTCCTGAAGTGCCTGTGTATCGTCTTGGTTGCGTATCTCTCTCCAAATTTTCACGTCATCAGCAAAAAGTAATAAGTCTGACGTTACCTGTTGAGGAAGATCGTTTATGTAGATCAAGAAGAGGAGAGGCCCTAATACTGAGCCCTGGGGAACCCCACTAGGACATTCCATAGCCTGAGATAAAGTGAAATTAACCCTAACCTTAAAGTGTCGATTTTCTAGGTATGAAGTAAGCCAATCGATTAGAGGCGGTTTGATACCTAGTCGTTTGAGCTTATTGATAAGACACAAGTGGTTAACTTTATCAAAAGCTTTTGAGAAGTCAAGGTATATGATATCAACCTTTCCCTTGCGATCGAGGATGCTTGTCCATCTGTCCACCGCAGTCAGCAGGTTGGTTATACAAGAGTAACCCTTCCTGAAACCATGCTGTTGGGGTGAGAAGAAGATTAAGGACAGTAGATAATCGTTTAAACCGTCGCATATCAGGGATTTCATGAGTTTTGAAGGTAATGACAGAAGAGCCACAGGCCGATAACTTGAAGGTTCATTGCGTCGACCACCTTTGAAAATTGGTGTGATGTGAGCCAACTTCCCATTTTCCG